CAAAGGTATACCTACAGAACTAATCAAACATGGGGGAGAAGCACTTATAACGCGGATATGTAGCCTGCTAACAAAAATCTGGGAGCGAGAGGAAATACCAGAAGTATGGAGAGAGAGGCAATAGTATGCACCATTCATAAGAAGGGAGATAAATCAGTGTGCGAAAACTACAGGGGTAATACTCTTCTGGATGTAAAAAATAAGTTACTCGCCAGAGTCATAAGCAGTAGAGTGAAAAGGCACTGAAACGAGCAGGTTGGTTAATACCAGGAAAGATTTAAAAAGGACAGATCCACCACAGATCAAACATTCGTGTTAAAAATTATTCAGAGCAATACATACAAGCAACAACTAAAGCTAAACCTCCTCTTTATATTGGGTCTTTATAGATTTTAAACAAGCTTACGATTCTGTGATAAAACAGCGCCTGTACCATGGGCTCCTAAGAGTACTTGGAATTCCGGAAAAGATGATTACGCTAGTAAAAATGACCTTAATGAAGATCGACAATGGAGTAAGGGCAGAAGGAAGTATATCAGAAGTATATCAAGGATATCTGCTATCCACAATTTTTTGCTGGGCAGAATAATGAGAGGGAGTGGAATTCGAAAGGTATGATTTGACAACAGAAGCCAGTTCCTGGCCTTTGCGGACGAGGTGGTGTTAATGGCAAGAACTAAGAGGAACTGCTGAGGATTTTTTAACTCTTTGAAACGAAGGCTAAACAGTATGGACTGATTATGAATGAGCAAAAATCAAAGCATATGGAAATGAGGCAGACCACATATGAAGGCATACAACTGAAAACTACCACAAACAATGAGAGTAACTTATTGCGTCAAAAAGGTGACGCAGTTTGAGTATCGAGGAGTAACCCTCACAAGTAAAGGGGAAGAAAGCAAAGAAATTAAGAAGCGGATTTCGAGAGGAAGAAAGACGATCGGAGCTTTACACAAACTACTAAGCGCAAGAAACATACCAAGAAAGGCAAAATTGAGACTATACCGAACAGTGATCAACCCACAGTCCTTTATGAAAGCGAAACATGGGTTATGACCAAAAATCGAGAAAATATGCTGAACATCTGGGAACGCAGTGTTTAAAGAAAGATATTCGAATGAATAAAAGACTGTGAAGACGTTTAGATGAGACGAACAAATGAAGAGATCAGAGACCGTTAAGGGAAACCAGAAATTAGCCAGATCGCCAGGACCTGCTGAGAGGGGAAGGAAAGAAGAGAAGTGACTAGAAGCGTGTAAGGAAGACCTACAAACAATCGGGATAACAAACTGGAAAACTGCGGCCGTTGACAGAACACATACACATAATCACAGTCAATTTATATATACACTATAAAACTTATTCTAAGTCATATGAAAAGGAAAATTATATTTTTAAAGGATTAAAGTTATGGTAAAAAAAAACAAATTAAAATTAGTAAATATGTACAATAAATTACCTCATGAAGGAACGCGAACGTTTCAAAACACATGTTGACTGCAGAAAAACAATATAATTTGGCAAAGATATTAATAGTGGCATTGAAAACCTAGACAATTTTACTAGTAAATTGTTTCAGAATTTATAGTATTATGTTTTATGTAATAAATAAAACAAGCTTTAAAATACACAATATCTTACACGATTTACGATATCCTGTGTTTCTCAATAAAATGTTGGATTGCTTCCAAGATTGTTTGATGACATTGAAAAACAAATGTCAACAAATGTTATAAAACGTTATTTTTAAATATAAAATATTTTTAAAAATATTTTCTGTTTGTCTATGCAAAAAAAGCAAATTTGAATTCTATATCTTTAATATATAAGAGGATGTCAAAGATCAATTATATGAGGAAGTAGAGATCATCTACGATAGATGTCCCAGAAACGACATCGAGATCACAATTGGAGATCTTAATGCAAAAATAGGGAAAGAAAATATATATAGTCCATACATCGGAAAATGAAGCGCTCATGACGTCACCAACGACAATGGAAATAGAATAATAGGATTTGCAGCATCCAAGGGCATGGTCGTTGGAAGTACCTACTTTCCCCATAAGAATATCCATAAAGTAACATGGATTTCGCCTGATGGTACAACCAAAAATCAAATAGATCACATCCTAATAGAAACCAGGCACTTCTCTAATCTAATGGATGTACGTACTTATCGTGGAGCTAATATAGATTCAGACCACTTCTTAGTAGGCGCAAAAATAAGAGCAAGAATCTCAAATGCAAAAAAAGAAAAGGGTAAGAAAAGTACTCGCTACAATTTAAAACACTTGAAAGAGATCCGTGCACTAGAAAGGTATCAAAATTACCTTGAACATGAAAGCACAACAGATGAGAATTTAACAGCTAGCGAGCAATGGGATATATGTAGAAGAACAATTAAGGAAGCGGCAAACAACGTCCTAGGACCAGAAGAATCCACTCCACGCAACAGTTGGTTCGACGATGAATGTGAAGATATCACTAAAAGAAAAAATTATGCATATAAACTTATGCAACAAAGAAGAACACGGGATAAGGAGCAAATGTACAAAGATCTTAGGAAGGAGGAAAAACGCATACATCGAAGGAAAAAGCGGACCTTCGAAAACCAGATTATGCAAGAGTTTCAATCATTAAAGGGGCAAAATGAAACTAGAAAGTTCTATAATATCTTAAATAAGACAAGAAAAGAATTTAAACCACGGCTGACGATTTGTAGAGACAAAAATGGACATATAGACAGTACCGCTGACGCAGTACAAAGCAGATGGGTTGAGCACTTCAAAGAACTACTTGGTACCGAAGTGGAAAATGATGCGTCACCCCAAAGACCAAGAAATAACACTCACGTAGAACCTCCTTCAATATTTGAAGTGAAAGACGCAATCACACGACTCAAAAATACCAAGTCCCCAGGAGTGGATTGTATCCCCGCAAAGCTCATCAAACATGGAGGTTACAGCATTATGCACCAAATTCACAACATAATAGTCAAAGTCTGGGAAGAAGAACAAATGCCAGAGGAATGGTGCACTGGAATCATATGTCCACTGCACAAAAAGGGAGATTTGTTGGAATGTAAAAATTATAGGGGTATTACTCTTCTGAATACAATGTACAAAATATTCTCCAACACCCTGTACAGCCGTTTAAGTACGTACGTGGAAGAAATCCTTGGTGGGTATCAAAGCGGTTTTAGGCCAGGTAGGTCAACAATTGACCAAATTTTTGTGCTACGTCAAATCTTAGAAAAAACCAATGAATTTAATATTGACACGTCCCATCTCCTTGTGGACTTTAAGTCAGCGTATGATAGCGTCCTAAGAGGTAAATTATACGAAGCCATGAATGAACTTAACATTCCCCATAAATTAATAAGGCTCGTAAAAACAACTATGAGTAAAGTGATCTGCAGAGTGCAAATACAAGGCGATATGTCACAAGCGTTTGAAACATATGCAGGGTTACGGCAGGGAGACGCGCTGGCGTGCCTTCTCTTTAATATAGCGTTAGAAAAGACTATAAGAGATGCCGAGTTACACAATAGGGGAACAATCTTTAATAAATCAACGCAGATTATGGCGTACGCTGACGATCTGGATTTGATCGCGCGTACTACACGAGGATTTAAAGAGATGACTTCCACCTTCTTGACAGCCGCACAAAATATGGGCCTTAAAATAAACGAGGAAAAAACCAAAATGTTAGCATCTATTCCAAATAACAGAGATAGAGCTAGAAACGCCGAACAAAACTTCAGTATAGACCAATATAATTTTGAGGTAGTAAATAAGTTTACATATTTGGGTTCTCTCATAACAAACGATAATGACACATCTGAAGAAGTTAAACGGAGGGTACTGCTAGAAAACAAATGTTATTTTGGACTAAGCAAGCAGCTAAAAAACAGAAATTTAAGCCAGAAAACCAAACTAATAATATATCGAACACTCATCCTACCAGTGCTGACATATGGGTCAGAAACATGGACCATCTCCAAAACAGACGCAAATCTTCTGCTCGTCTTCGAAAGGAAGATACTAAGAAGAATAATGGGCGCATTCTGTGAGAATGGTATTTGGAGAAGGCGATATAATTTCGAATTGTACGAGAAGTATAAAAAAATAGTAAATGGTAGAGATGTAATATCCTTCATAAAAATAGGTAGGCTTAGATGGGCTGGACATGTGCAAATGAAAATGAAAATTACCCACCCAGACGAACCCTATTATCGGTCCCAGTGGGAAATAGGAGTAGAGGCAGACCACGACTGAGATGGAGGGACGGTGTGGACGAGGACGCAAGGAAAATCGGCGCGGCAAATTGGCAACGGTTGGCGATGAACAGAAACGACTGGCGAAATAGACTGGGGAAGGTCAAGGCTCAACTAGAGCTGTAGCACCACTATATTAATAATATCTATAACGAACACGCTTATTACGAGGTTTCGCTTATAACGAGGTACATTAGATGTCCCATGAAATTTCAATTGAACTATAACACTCTATAGCGAGGCAAATTTGGTTATAATGAGAGAAAATAAGATCGAAAAACGTGTTTATTACGTTTTTGACCCGGTCGTGGCTATAAATAAATACCCTTTCATATTTAATAATTTTTCATGATCTACCTTTTCTTTATCTATGGGCTATCTATGAATGAACATTTATCTGCGACTTTTCAATTAACTACATTCTTACCCACCCCCCAATGAAGCTTCGAATTGAGCAATGTGGTCTTAGTTAAACTTTTGTGAATGATCAGTTTTTTACCATCTACTCCTGTTGGCTTTTTCGTTACAATATAGATTTTATCTTAATATATACTAAACCTGAGAAGTATTAATTATTTTTTGTGTATAATTGCTGATGGTAATAACAGAAATATTTTCTTAATATTTAATTAGTCAGTTCAAAGTCATGCTCAAAGTTATACAAAAAATTAAAAATATTATATTTATTTTGAAGAAAAAATATTAGAGGTTGCAATATACTTACCACCTATAGGGACATATGTCCAATGCATAGTATCTAGATTCAAGTGATATATAAGTTGAGCAAAAGAGTCTGAGTGTTCTTCATATCCGCCATAAATAATCATATAATTCTTCCATAAACAAGCTGTATGCCCATCTCGAGCTGGGGGGAAATGTCCAGTAGTTTTAGGAGCTGTCCAACAGTGCCAAACAGTATCAAAACAGAATAGAGTTGAACATGAGGCTCTATCATTTCTACCACCCCATATATAGACCTTTTCCCCATATACTATTGCAGTATGACCATATCTAAAAAAGAAATAGATCTATATAACTTTAATGATGCAAACATCAAATTATTATATAATTGAAACCCGGGTAGATGGATGAAATAATTAATTATGAATTGTAGTACATTAAAAAAATGGCCATATATAAAAACATGATATATAACACTGATTGATAAATATTCTGGTGTCTGATGTAATGGGACCATAAAGCTGTTGGTCCCGGCTACATAAATAGTAGTTAACACTTAAACCTGAGTCAAAAGGTTATACGAATGGAAGATGTATAATAAGTCAATTGACTGACCATTTATTCGTATGACCATTTATAACAACAAATGGTAATGAAAAACACCAAGAAAGTTATAAACTTCTTGAAGAGAAGAGTCATCAACATAGCTATAAAAACCTTCTTTAAGTAAATACATAGAAGAATAAAGATAGGCATGATAAAAACTGAAGTTTATGAGTACAGTACAATTCCTGTAAACTAAATACTAGAGACTCTAAATCCCTCGGGATCTTGGTATTTACGAGATCCTCTATATTGAAAATACTCATATTTATATAAGGCAAATTAATCAATGAATTAATCCACTAATTCCACATTTATTTAAGTATTACTATTGGTATGGGATCAATCAAATTACACCATTTATTCTTCACAAAAAATAGTAACAAATACTGAAACAACAAAAATCTATCTTCTTTAAAAAATAAACCAACAGAATTTTAAAAATCAACCAAAAAACACATTTTCAACTGAAAATTAATATAATTTAGTTTACTAATATGATTTAGCTATACACTACTATTATTTAGCTACAACTTTCAATTGAAAATGATTGCTACACAACATAACATATCTAAACTGTTGTCTGCCAAACTACTGCATATTTTAGAGGCATTTTTTTTTAACCTATTCTCTTGCCTTCCATTGTTGGATATAGGTCTCCCCCAGTTCTCTCCATCTTTCCCTATCTTGAGCTGTTCTCTGCCATGTGGGACCTCCTTGTTTCCTGATGTCATCTTTCCACCTCATCTGTGGTCTGCCTCTTGATCTCTTTGCATTGTATGGACGCCACTTTCCGATGGCATTGTTCCATCGTCCGTCTTGGAGACATTCATTGTGTCTAGCCCATTTCCATTTCAGTTTGGCTGCTTTTTCTATCGCATCTACTGTCTTTGTTCTGGTTGTCTCTCCATCGCTCTTTGTGCCTTCCTTATCCTATCCAAATTGGCCTGTGTAAATGTCCATGTCTGTGCTCCGTAGGGGTGAGCACCGGTATGATACAGGAGTTATATACCTTGCTTCGTAAGTAAGAGGCAATATAGCCAGCAGCATAAAATGCTCTTTCAGCTTCCACACTTATTAAGGTTTTATATGTAAATGTAAGATACTTTCCCATTGACCCCCCAGATTCATAGAGTCATTCCCTTTTTTATAATGGACCTAAGTGCATTAGCTCGCAATGGTGACAGGCACAGTTGACGATACACACACATGTTGACAATATAATTAACTCTCAACTCCTGTTGCAATGTAAGATCAAGATCGGAACCCAATTATGGAACCTCTACCTTTCTTACTTGATTAGCCTCTTTGTCAGCATTGCTCTCAGATGAATTTAAAAGGCTGAAGTTCATTCTCATTACAAAATCTTTAATTTCTTTTTGAAGTAAACTTGTTGCTGGAAGATAAAAAGCTTTTATCATACACATCAAGTGGTAACTATGAGGATTTTGGAGATAAATCAGTAGTGGAGTCACATTTCTATGTTGTTGTAAAATACATCCGCACAAAGACAAAGCTAATGCTGAAGCTAACATTGAATAATTACTTATCTACCAGTTTCTTAATCATAAATTTGAGCTTAGCTTCAGCAGTAATGAGATTAGCATCTTGACAGCAAAGGATCAAAATCATGTTCTAAAAACCTATACTCAACATTCATACTAAGGTCCAGATCCATCAATGCTGTAGCAATGCACAATTTCAGTTTGTTAAATTTTTCTACAATGGTAACCAAACTACTCCATCTTGTCTTACAATCTTTATCTAATTCTATTGTTTGTCCAAACTTTTTCTTAATGTATCCCTGAAGTATGTCATTTTTTGTTGGTGAACCTTTAAACATCAGTAAAATTTTCCTAACACTGTTGATTATATTGTTAAAATCTGGTATCAATTCCCCTTCCATCTCTGATACACTTCTGTAGACTCTCCAATTAGTCCTCATTATTACATACATCAGCCTCAGAATTCTCAAGTGAATTATTATCACTTTGTTCTTTTTTTATAGAGAACATCTCAGTTGCAACCCATGGGCATAGCAAAGTTATTGAAATACTGGAATCAAACTACCAGTTTTAACCACTTGTTGCCATTTGCTGATGATCTTAAGCTGTACATTAAACGTTTCAAACCTATCTGATGCTTAAGGATCCAAGAATACTGAACTTATATAATATAATTGAACTCTTTAATGGTCCCCATTGAATAAAAATAAGTATTTTGTTATATAATTTAACAAATCTAAAAGTATTGTTTGACTATTATGATAATACAAGCCTTCTGACCAGAATGACTTAAATAAGAGATTCGGAAGTGTTATTTGTCAGTTCCTTGTCATTTATCCCTCACATCAAAAATTTGTAAAATAAAGCATACTGCCATCAACAGTTTATTCAAAGAAACTCTCCAGATCTGTTGGTGTATACACATACAATTTTATATCATACTTTCATACATAGCATCCAGTCTTATGCTTCTATAATACAGTCACCATATTAACACCCTTCAAAAAATAAGTTTTTCCAGGTTTGTGCTTATAACTTAAACTTACAGAACATGTCTTTGGTGGAACTAAGATCAAGGCTAAATATCAGAGTCTCCCTAGAAGACTACAGAACTAAAAGTGATCTGGTTTTTCTGTATAAACTAATTGACACCAACTGTTCTGATTTATTAAATCTTTGTAGTACTAAAACTCATAGAGACATGCCTTTGTTTTCTATAAAACACTATCACACAAACTGTGTGTAACTGTTTTCCTCCTATTAACAGAATTCAGACACTGGGAAATGATCTTAATCAATCTTATGATCTGGTGGACATAAAAACTGTAAGATTTAAGCATTCTTTGACTGAGTATGTTAAACTATTTAATATTTAGTTTTTAGTATTGTTATGATATTTTTTGTTTTTAATTTTTGTAAAAATGGTACACCCTGTGAATAAAAAAAATGAATTTCAAAAATGAACATTTAAACCATTGCTTTATTATTAATTGATTCAGTTTGATTTAATAAACTGCATGTGAATAATTTTTTACTTTTAAGTTAAAATTGATATTTCATTGAGAGCACAAAATTAATTTACTAGTTAGTTTTGAACTGAGTTCAGAGAACAGAATGTGTCTCTTGTCTATACAACATAAGTACCTAAAATAAATTTCTCAATCAGTAAGAACAAAAAAAGTGTACTAAAAACCATGACAACAAACAATCTAAAATCTTTTTATTGTATGATAATTTGGAATTTGAACCCACACATGTAAAAAATAAATAATTCACTTAATAAAATTAACACTAGAAAAAATAACAGAGTAACAATAATGCAGAGTGGTTAGATCATGGTATGAAAAATAAACTATTGTGGAGCAATCTAGAAGGCCATAGAATGAAAGCCATGAAAGGAAGACCCTATGAATAGAATAATTTGAAAAATGTAATGGGTGCATAAAAGTTAGATAAGTCAAACTAACCTCTTGTAGGGAAGAATATCATCATTTTCAAAATATGGTAAGTCACTCACAGGATGTTGTGTCCATCGAAGGGTAGTAGTATTTAACACATGTACATCCATGGATGTGTACTCCCGGGAGTTCTCTCCAGTGCAGTATCCCCCAAAAGAATAAATTTTATGACCCACAGCAACAGCTGCATGATTAACTCTCTTGGGGCCACCTTCTAAGCAGGTTATCCAAGGCATTCTTACCGTTCAACGAATGTTAGAGTATATTATTTTCAAAAATTGCTGTGCATTTGACACAGTTTAGTATCAAATATGATGTCCCTTGAATAAACACAAATTACTTGAAATCTGTTTTTATATTTATCATTGTATTAAAAACTTTCTAATTTTAGGGTAATTAAAATCAACGAAAAATTAATGTTGTACATTGCCGACACGAAAATTACCGACTAGAACTACACTATGCAGACTAATGTCTAGTTACTAGTTTTATTTATATTTAAATAAAAAACAGCGAAGCAACACCAACACCAACAATTTCAATTTTTTCCATTTGCTACGCAATTAAACGATCACAGACGATCAAAAATCGACAAAGTTTGACACAGGGAAGGGAACTGACATGTGCAGAAAATTTCAGAGGTGTATACTAGCCCGAGCCCGAGGCACAGTATCCACATCATCGAGCAAAAAGACAATAGAGGGAATGTAAAGGTAGTGGGGGCAAACATATTGTTAGACAGGAAGTGCGATCTTTAGAGGCCACTTTAAACAAGGAAAGAGAGTGTCTCTCCTTGTTTGACATCAAATTTAGTTGGGTTATGTTATTGTTTGTCCCCAATGACGTATAATATATAGACTACGCAGTCCCCTATTCTCGCTATAGAATCGAGTGTCCGAAAGATCTCGGCTCAAGGTTGAAGGTATGTTTATCAGAACAGCGGCGTGCTCATTTATATGTTAATGACAATAATTATTTTTTTAATTAAAATGAAATATTTATGATTTCTTTTTGTTCCCGTCTATAAGAGAAATAATTATTTTGATACAATAGTATGGCATTTTACTAAAATAGTAAGTAAATAACTCTCAACAATTTAAAATAAAATTTGCTTGTCACAAAAAATGGAAAAAATGTTTTCATACGTCCATGATGATTTCAAACACAAGATCAACTTCGTGATGCTTCGTAAGAAATCATGAACTTCGTGCATCTTCGTATCAAAACAATAAACAATAACAAAGGTATTCATGTTTTGGACACTTTTTAAAGCGTTCACGGAGTCTATATATTATACGTCATTGTTTGTCCCAAATGTCACATGAAATCTTATTTATATTGAAGTTTTTTAACAATTGTGTCGCATTTTAGACTCTTATCATTAATAATTAATTAAAACTTTCTCGTCTAAGACACATTCTGCGAAATATTATATAGCTACTTTTGATAAGTGTCGGAAAATTTAAATTTGGCGCATTCGTATTTCCGGATATGTCCGCCATCAGAGGCCACTTTTTTGGTCTCCTTTTCATAAGGATTAGATTCCCTCTTTTGTCTTATTGCTCGATGATCCACATTCAGTATCTTTTAGCATTAAATTCATCGAGCAAAAAGACAAAAGAGGGAATGTAAAGGTAGTGGGGGCAAACATATTGTTAGACAAAAAGTGCGATCTTTAGAGGCCACATTAAACAAGGAAAGAGAGTCTCTCTCCTTGTTTGACATCAAATTTAGTTGGGTTATGTTATTGTTTGTCCCAGTGATATCACAGTATAGACAACAACAACAGTTGTTATTTATACTGTGGTGATATGTAAGAGAGATATTGCACTTCCTGTCTAACGTCTAACAATATTTTTGCCCTCACTACCTTTACATTCCCTCTTTTGTCTTTTTGCTCGATGAAAAAACCTGTGTTGCCAATGTCCGGATAATTATCCGATTTTCGGATAATTTCGTGGACCATCGGATAATTTTCGGATTGAACAATTTTTTGGATAATTTCGGATAATTCAAGGGTCTATCGACTTTTTATTTTTAAATATAATTTAAATTTTTGTAAGCTTAAATAGCTAAATTTGCGAATGTACATAGAACTGCAAACTCTATTCTCATATAATCGAAGATGATGGAACCTATGAATTATTTCAGCGCCCTCTGTTGATAAATAGTATAGTTTTGGTTGACTGTTTTACTGTACAAAAATCCAGGGATCTTTGAAATTGACAAAACAAAAATCGAATTTCATTTCAATCCAAGTCTAAAATGTCGAAGTAGTCAAGTAATCCCCTGTGGCACTTTCTCTATACTTTTGCCGATTATGTATGTAAACAATAAGTATTTTTAATGTAGGTTTTAAGAGTTAATAATTTGTTATTTTCCTGTATTTATGTATTATTTTTTGTTTTTTATTTAAATAAATATATTTCTATCAAACTAAACTTGTTTTCTTGCCATCATTTCTCATATTGATTGTCATTTCCATTTGGCATCTACCAATGTGTCAATGTCAACTGTCAATGTCAATTATGTCATTTAATTAGTGTTCTTTTTCGATTTTTATGAATTCGGATAATTTCGGATATTTGGTTTCTAACATTCGGATAATTTGCTCCCAACATTCGGATAATTTCTAGTCAATGACGTATAATATATAGACTCGGTGAACGCTTTAAAAAGTGTCCAAAACATGAATACCTTTGTTATTGTTTATTGTTTTGATACGAAGATACACGAAGTTCATGATTTCTTACGAAGCATCACGAAGTTGATCTTGTGTTTGAAAACATCATGGACGTATGAAAACATTTTCTCCATTTTGTGTGACAAGCAAATTTTATTTTAAATTGTTGAGAGTTATTTACTTACTATTTTAGTAAAATGCCATACTATTTTATCAAAATAATTATTTCTCTTATAGATGGGAACAAAAAGAAATCATAAATATTTAATTTTAATTAAAAAAATAATTATTGTCATTAAAATATAAATGAGCACGCCGCTGTTCTGATAAACATACCTTCAACCTTGAGCCGAGATCTTTCGGACACTCGATTCTATAGGGAGAATAGGGGACTGCGTAGTCTAGTTTCTAGTTTTGCATTGGCAACACTGGTAAAAACTATAGACGCCATATTTGTTGATTATTTCCATTTCCATAGATAAGAAGGTTAGGTCCATTTCCATTAAATTCGTTAAGTAGCAGTAGCTATGGAAGATAAAATTGAAATAAAGAAAGGGTTTACTGAATATGACCAACCATGTATAGGTCATCTATGGACATCGACATCAGTAGATCTCCAAGACTTAAAAGTTGAACCAGAGAAAGTTGATCTAGGTGAGACGAAGTAATAAAAATAAATAAACAATGTGATATAATCTTATAATCATCCGAATTTTTAAATTTCCATATTTTTTTCTTAGCTATGGAAGTTAAAGTTAAAAAGGTGGAAGAGTTTTCAGAAGATGACCAAAAATATATAGAGACTCATCTATGTACATCAACAGATCTTCAAGACTTAAAGACCGAACCAGAGGAAAATGAACCAGGTGAGACAGGAAGTCAAATAAATAATAAACATTCTGCAAATTAAGTTAATAATGCTGCATTTTTCATATATTTTGTTAATGATTAGAATACATTATTTAATCGATAACTTTATTTATTTCAAATAAATAGAAAACAATACAATTTGTTTCAAATAAGATTTATAAAAAATAACCGACGGGAAATTAAAAAAAAAAATAACACAGAAAAATAAAAAGCAACAGTAATTTTAACTTATGTTACTTAAGTGAGGTGTTCAAAATGACCTCCCAAAACATCTATACATACTTGAAAGCGGTCATTGAAATAGTTGCTTCCATTACTAATCAGTTGTAAAGAAATATTTTGAAATGCAATTCGAATTATATTTTTCATATCATCTCTTGTTGTTGGAGGTATTTTATATACTTCTTTCTTAACGTAACCCCAAAAAAATGAGTCTATTTTATTGAATTCTGGTAACCTTGGGGGTCACCTTACCGGTCCATCCCTTCCGATCCATCTTTCACCAAACTGATCATTAAGTTCACCACGTAATAATTCGTTTTGGTGCGCAGGGGCACCGTCATGTAGAAACCAATGATAAAATTTACGATAAAATCTAAATAAATCTCACCATTTAAGTTATCTTAAAAAAATATGGTCCTACTACATGGTTACGGATGACACCTCTCCACACATTTAGAGACCATCTTGTTTGACTATGTGGTATGGATTACTTGTTAAATAATAGTGAAAGTTATGCCTATTAACAGAATGTTTCAATGGAATGTAGCTTCATCACCAAATAGGATATAATCAAAAAAATATCTCTGCTCATTAACTTTTTCTAAGGCCCATTCACAAAATACCATTTGTTTATGAAAATTATCATTATTTAATTCTTGGTGCTTTTGAATATGATAAGGGTGCATCTTGTTTTTAGATAGAATGTTTTAAACAGAGTAGTAACTAAGTTCTTGTTCATTGGAAATACTCCTTATACTTGAGTGTGGGTTTTCTGTAACTTCCATCAACACACTCATTTCGTTTTCCTCTGCCACACTAGTTTTTGTTCGTTCATGTTTTTCATAATTCACTGACCAGTGTGGTTAAATCAATCTTTCAATTTTCCAAATGTATCTTGTCTAGGTTGCCGCCTATGAGGAAACCTTTCTTGATAAATTGTATGTAATTATTATTGAATACTAAAACTGTTAATATGATATTATTTATTTAATGATTATAATTATTGTAATTGGTATAACCGTAAATAAACTATTTATTTATTTATTTATTTATAAATTCTAGCTGATAGTATTGAATTTTTATTGCATTCCCCCGATATCCAGATCATATCTACCATTTCATCAGTAGTAAAATTCATTATTGCTAATTTAAATTGAATTAATTACTGAATTACTAAATAATCATTGTTGCTAATTTACGGTGTACCCCAATACTGAATTAATAAACAATAATGGTAAACTCACAATAATTATTGGTAAATGTTAAAATATCTACCAAATTATTATGTTGATGGAAAAATAAAAATATTTAGAAAACTGATAACTTTAGGTATAGGGTGTACTTCATAAAATTTGAAGTACGATATTAGTACTTTTCGATAATGATATAAAATACCGGGTGTTCTATTTAAAATTACTAAGAAAATAATGTACTTGCATTTTGACTTACCCTGTATTTGATTTAACGAATATTATGAAAACGAATATGTTTTATAATTTTTAACAATTATTAAAAAACTATGGTTGTAATAGATCAATGTTCCTATTCCTTTTTAGTTATACAGGGAGTTGATACGATTTTCAGGTAATATTGGTTATAACTATTTAAATACCCGGTATAACATAATAAAACTTTACATTGTTGTGACGTGGAAGTGAAGCAGATATAAAATATAGGGTATTCCATTTAAAAAATATATAAGTTTGGTCTGCCACCATCTTATGGAACACCCTGTAAGATTGTAACTAATTTTAAAATTTGTTAGTTTAAAGCTGCTTACAATTTTTGTAAATAACTTTTTGTGTAGTGAAAATAATAAATTCAAAAGAACTTTTTTGGAAATGGTTTGTATTAGCAAAAGTGATAATAATTTAAACAAAAGATCAGAAATTAAAAATCTAAGCAAAATTTATAATTATATTATTTCTTTGTAGTTTATATATGAAACCAGTAAAATATCACGTTTTGATTTAATTTTCCATATATTTGTTACATTTTTTCATCAGACATCTATCAATCGTGAATAAATCTTCTCCTTTTTTGTTACTAAACAAAAAAGAATTTTTAAACAAAATATTATTTTTGGCAATATAATTGTCAAAAATAAAAATTTTAAATTGAGGCTTAATTGTAATTGGTCGCTATTCTAACTTATTTATAAATTCAATTGTTTTTGTGTTAAGAAACTATTTTCAAAATTATACTAAAATTTCAGAGAAACATTTATTAGATAAGAACATTTTTATAATATTTTTTTTTGAAATATGTTAGCAGCAGTTTTATTAACCGACCTAATTTTATTTGGTGGGTTAACAAAATCTTTTTTCTTTCTAGTTCAACTTTGTAAGATATTTTGTATTTTTTAGCGGCTCTTAATTATTGTAAACACAATGGAAAACTCGAGATAAAAAATAATTACCCAATAGCCCCTTGAGAATTTAATGCTCGACGTTTCGGCTCCCGTTTTGGAGCCATTATTAAGAGGGATACGGTTCGGTTCGAGTTCGGGGTCTCAATCTGCCTACTCCCCTCACTCGACACGCGTACCAGTATCGTGTTCTGTACTATAAATACAAGGACTGTCTCTCGGCACTGAGGTCTCAATCTGCCTACTCCTCAGTGTCGAGTGACAACCGGTCTTGCCCTGTGACGCTTCTTTTATACTCGCTGTAAGCGCGGGAACGGTATGGGCTGACGTGGTCTGAACTGACGTGGCCTGAACGGTATGGGCGGGAGGTCGCTGAAGTAGGGGTCGCCATGTTGGCGGCAATCGTTTTGCGTCGTCGCGCGTATTTAAGCTGTTAGGCCGTTTTTCGATTTCGATGGCTTCACGAATGATTCTTGATTTTAAGGAGCGGATGGGGGCGATGGTTTTTGCTTTTTCGAAGTCTATTTTGTGGCCTGTTTGATGTGATGTTGGGCTAGGGCTGAAGTAGTATCGGAATGTTTGACTGATATAGAATGTTCGTAAACACGGTTATGGATTCGTCGGTTTGTCTGTCCGATGTATGTACGTGGGCAACTGGAACAAGGTATCTCATAGACACCATGGTCTTCATTAGGGATTTGGTCTTTTACGGATCTGACGAGATTGGACAACTTGGAGTCCAATAGTGAAGATAGTTTTGATGTTTAGAGGAAGAAGAGTTCTACTGATTTTGTCAGTGACACCTTTAATAAAAGGTAGAAAAATTTTGGGTTGATCCGGGCGGCAAGGTTTCTTTTTTGGATGGAATGGGGTTTAGATGTTTTTGAATGCTCTTATTGATTTGGGTTTTGTGGTAGCCGTTTTATAAGAGTGTTTGTCTTATTGAATTGATTTCGGATGACCTATGATTGATGTCGCTAAGTCTTATGGAACGAGAAATGAGAGTGTTGACCACTGAATTGAGTTGGGCGGGGTGATGATGTGACTGGGCATTAAGATATCGGTTTGTATGAGTGGGTTTAACTGTGAGGTAAGTCTTTCTGAATAAGGACTTCAAGGAATGGCAAAGACGCTTCAGACTCGACTTTCATCGTGAATTGAATACTAGGATGTATTACATTCAGGTGGGAGAGGAAGAGATCTAACGCGTCCCTACCATGAGGAAAAATGACAAAAGTGTCATCAACATACCGTAACCAGCAGGTAGGTTTAAGATTTGATGAGGACAGGGCTGCTGTTTCGAAATGTTCCATGAAAATATCAGCTATTACGGGAGAGAGGGGAGATCCCATTGGGGCACCTTTGATTTGACGATAGAAATGATTTTGGAATGAGAAGTATGTATTAGACATGCAGTGTTTTATAAGAGATAGTGTGTCTTGGGGGATTTGATGTTTGGAGTCCAAGATGGAAATGGTTTCGTCGATAGGAATATTGGTGAACAAAGAAACAATGTCAAAACTAACTAGTATATCTGAGGGAGAAATAGAAATATTTTTCAGAAAGTCAATAAAATGAAAAGAGTTTTTGACAAAAGACGAAGCTTTTTTGGCTAATGGTTGTATAGATAAAGCGAGATGTTTTGCCAATTTCTGAGTGGGGCAGTTGCATGCACTGACGATGGGTCTTAGGGGAACATTGGGCTTATGGATTTTTGGAAGGCCGTATATCTTTGGAATTCTGGATGATTTTTCTCTGGGTATAAGAGATTTTTTTATGTCTGCTGAAGGTAGAGTAGACTTATTTATGATGGATTTGGTCGTTTTTTCTAGATAAGTGGTGGGATCGTTTGGGACGCGTTTGTATTCTGTGGAATTGAGAAGTTCGAATATTTTGTCGAAATAATTAGAAGAGTTAAGAATGACGGTGGCATTACCTTTGTCGGCCGGAAGGATGACAATGTCGGGGTTGTTATAAAGTTCTTTGAGGGCGCGTCTTTCTGAAAGATTGATATTTGACGGTGGGGGTTTGGAAGTACGGAGAATTCTGGCGACATCTTGTCTGGCGACTTCGGCTTGGTCGGAAGGAAGATGAGAAATAGCTTCTTCAGTTTGACAAATAATTTTCTCAGTTGGGATTGAAAGAGGTGTGACAGAAAAATTGAAGCCTTTTGATAGAGCTTTGGTAGCTGAATCGGATATGTGAATATCTGAGAAATTGCGAACAACAGTAGAAGGTTCTTGATTTGAAATGGGCTTTGGATTTTGTTGGGAGATAAGTTGGTCCAGTTTGCGTTTCTGGGTTTGGGTTTTGGTGTCAGAAATGTGTTGGGCTTTTTGGTGAGAAAGACGATCGAAAGTGTCCCATAATAATGGGTGGATCTTGAAAGAGTGAATGTCATTGTAGTTTTAATATAGCATTGTAGGTTTTATATATATATATATATATATATATATATATATATATATATATATACATATACAGGTTGTTTCAAAAAGGTATGTCGTAAAATAAATAACGCATTCCGGGGATAAAAATAAATTGATTGAATCCAACTTTCCTTAGTACAAAAGTGTACACAAAAAAAGTTACAGCCCTTGGAGTTACAAAATAAAAAAGATATTTTTGGACTAACTCCCAAACTACTTGATATTTTGTAATAAAAATGGACACGTTACTTCTTGTTCTGAAAGCATTTTTCATACAAAAGAAACAAATAATTCTAAGTGTACAGGGGGGCACATTTTAAGGGGCGTGTGCAGCCCTAAATCCCCCCAAACTTTTGAGTATGTTCAAATCAAATGAATTTTGTGGCATCATTAGCTTAGCACATTATTTTTAAAACTTTTTTGCCTCATCTATTTTTCGAAAAACTAGTTTTTTCCTAGTAGGCCATAAAATTCCAATTAGTTTCTACAGATACAATAATTACAAACAGTTCCATCAATAATAGTCAATAATTTGAAGCTATCATTTATTGTGTGAATAAGATTAATATTAAAAATTTTGATATTACAATTTCCTACACATTTCAGGAAATGGTAGATATGCATTTAACTTTGGATAAGTTGTATCAGATTAAATTATGATTTCAATAAACTATCGAGAATATCGTAGGTGAATGTCAATGAAATAGTGCAGCAGCCGCAAAGCGTTATGCAGTAAAATACCGCAATCGAAATACACTCGACAGACGATTATTTCTGACCACTGATTGTCGTTTACGGGAACACTCCAACCGCAAGTTGCTGGCTATAGTGTATGCAACTGATGAAGACATTTTAGAAATCATTGAAGAAGTCCCTGGACCAAGTACAGGGATTAATAGCTGCTGAACCAAATATTCCTCACGTAAGGGTTTGGAGGCGTTTGAAGGATCAGCTGCTTAAACCCTATCACTTAACAACGTTTCAAGAGTTATTGGTTGAAGATTATCCTAAAAGTATTGGATTTTGAGATTGTTTGTTAATGGAAATCACTCAAAATGTTAATTTTATTAGAAATATTTTGTTTACCGTCGAGGCTACCTTCAGTAGAAATGGAATAACAAACCATCATAACAAGCACATTTGAGCCGACGAAAATCCTCATGCCAAAAAAACGACTCATCACCAAAGGACTTTCAATGTTAATGTTTGGGCAGGAATTGTGGATAACAATCTAATAGGCCCAGTATTTCTTCCCAACAATTTAAATGGTGATAATTATTTGCAGTTCTTGGCAAACGATTTACAAGAGTATTTTGAAGAAGTGAATATTGCAATAAGGCAAAATACTACTGTTTTCTACAAGATGGCGCTCCACCGCATTACACTAATGAAGTCCGGGAATATCTTTGCAGGCAGTATCCTGGTCGGTGGATTGGCAAGGGTCGTGATGCACCTATTTCTTGACCATCCAGAAGTCCAGGTCTTAACCCCATGGACTTTTGCTTTTGGGGATTTATGAAAGAGAAAGTATATTTTGTAACAATAGAGGACGAACAACAATTGAGGGTTAGAAAAATTGAAAGCTGCAAATGCAAAAGAAAATGGGGGTCATTTTGAACATTTTTTATAATATCATATTTATAGAGGTTATAGACAGTTTTTGTACTTGTTAATTCATTTAAGCCATTTATTTAGTTGCATGTAATTCTTTAAAGGTTAATGAAAAGGGCCGTAACTCAAAAACTGATTTTTGAATAAAATGATAAGAGGCAAAAAAGTTTTTAGAATAATGTGTTAAACTAATGATGCCACAAAATTCATTTGATTTGAACGTACTCAAAAGTTTGGGGGGATTTAGGGCTGCTTAGATTTTGTTGGTTTTTTTTTTATGAAAACTGCTTTTATAACAAGAAGGTAACGTATCCATTTTTATTACAAAATGTCAAGTAGTTTAGGAGATGATGCAAAAAAACAATTTTTATTTTGTTACTTCAAAGGGCTGTAACTTTGGGCTTTTTGTGTACACTTTTGTACTAAGGTAAGTTAATTTATTACATACCTTTTTGAAACACCCTGTATATATAGTAGAAAATAGAACTACTTATTACATTTATTTCTTTTAAATAAACTTTTGTTACTTTTTATTCTTGTTCTTAAGTATCTGCATAAATTTTTCTTTATAGTAAAATGTATACAGTTGTTTTATATTTTAGGTAATTTACAGAATAAAAACAGAATGAAAACATCTGAACATTCATCTCATAAAGAACATTTGGTTAGATACAGTGAAGAAAAAACATTAAATAAAAATATGACAGTGCAAACTGGGAAAGGCCCTTACACATGTGCAATTTGTTTAAAACAGTTTTCTCAACGATTTAATTTGAAAATACATTTGAGAGTACATGCTGAAAAAAAACCACACAAATGTGAAATTTGTTTAAAGCAGTTTACTCAAGCAGGTAATTTGAAATCACATTTGATGACTCATACTGAAGATAAACCTTACAAGTGTGATATTTGTTTTAAGCAATTTACTCAAGTAATTCATTTGAAATCACATTTGAGGACACACACTGGAGAAGAATATTACAAGTGTGATATTTGTTTTAAGCAATTTACTCACGCAAATCAGTTGAAATTACATGTGGGAACACATACTGGAAAAAAACCTCACAAATGTGAAATTTGTTTCAAGCAGTTTACTCAAGCGAGTAATTTGAAATCACATTTGAAAAGACACACTGGAGAAAAACCTCATAAATGTGAAATTTGTTTCAAGCAGTTTGCTCATGCGCGTTATTTGAAATCACATTTGAAAAGACACACTGGAGAAAAACCTCATAAATGTGAAATTTGTTTCAAGCAGTTTACTACAGGGAGTTATTTGAAATCACATTTGAGAACACACACTGGAGAAAAACCTTACAAGTGTGATATTTGTTTTAAGCAATTTGCTCAAGCAATTCATTTGAAATCACATATGATGACTCACACTGGAGAAAAACCTTACAAGTGTGATATTTGTTTTAAGCAATTTACTCAAGCAATTCATTTGAAATCACATTTGAGGACACACCCTGGAGAAGAACCTTACAAGTGTGATATTTGTTTTAAGCAATTTACTCAGGCAAATCAGTTGAAATTACATGTGGGAACACATACTGGAGAAAAACCTCACAAATGTGAAATTTGTTTCAAGGAGTTTACTCAAGCGAGTAATTTGAAATCACATTTGAAAAGACACACTGGAGAAAAACCTCATAAATGTGAAATTTGTTTCAAGCAGTTTGCTCATGCGTGTAATTTGAAATCACATTTGAAAAGACACGCTGGAGAAAACCTTCATAAATGTGAAATTTGTTTCAAGCAGTTTACTACAGGGAGTTATTTGAAATCACATTTGAGAACACACACTGGAGAAAAACCTTACAAGTGTGATATTTGTTTTAAGCAATTTGCTCAAGCAATTCATTTGAAATCACATTTGAGGACACACACTGGAGAAGAACCTTACAAGTGTGATATTTGTTTTAAGCAATTTACTCACGCAAATCAGTTGAAATTACATGTGGGAACACATACTGGAGAAGAACCTCACAAATGTGAAATTTGTTTCAAGCAGTTTACTAAAGCGAGTAATTTGAAATCACATTTGAAAAGACACACTGGAGAAAAGCCTCATAAATGTGAAATTTGTTTCAAGCAGTTTGCTCATGCGTGTAATTTGAAATCACATTTGAGAAGACACACTGGAGAAAAACCTCATAAATGTGAAATTTGTTTCAAGCAGTTTACTACAGGGAGTTATTTGAGATCACATTTGAGAACACACACTGGAGAAATTCCTTACAAGTGTGATATTTGCTTTAAACGGTTTACTGTAGCATGTACTTTGAAATTACATATGATGACTCACACTGGAGAAAGACCTTACAAGTGTGATATTTGTTTTAAGCAATTTGCTCAAGCAATTCATTTGAAATCACATATGATGACTCACACTGGAGAAAAACCTTACAAGTGTGATATTTGTTTTAAGCAATTTACTCAAGCGACTCATTTGAAATCACATTTGAGGACACACACTGGAGAAGAACCTTACAAGTGTCATATTTGTTTTAAGCAATTTACTCACGCAAATCAGTTTAAATTACATGTGGGAACACATACTGGAGAAAAACCTCACAAATGTGAAATTTGTTTCAAGCTGTTTACTCAAGCGAGTAATTTGAAAACACATTTGAAAAGACACACTGGAGAAAAACCTCATAAATGTGAAATTTGTTTCAAGCAGTTTGCTCATGCGTGTAATTTGAAATCACATTTGAAAAGACACACTAGAGAAACAACTTTATAAGTGTAAAATGATTGTGATTAACAGATTGCTGTTTATCAGTTAAATATAAAATGTCATTAAAGTTATAAAATTAAACTTGTTGTTTTTCCCTTTTTATTTACATGTTCCTCAATCCCAATAAAAAAATAAATGCTAACCCTTGAAAAAGTTAAAAATGTAGAGTATGAATCTAAGGGAAACTGTCTGAACTTTTAGCCTGAACTAACTGTAGAATATGTACAATATCTCATATTCGATTGGGATGTGTATATTGCAGGGATGTATCCTTCCTCTCACAAGGAGCGTCTCATTCAGATATATTTCGAAGAGTATATGCAGCAGTCTTGCTTTAGACCCTTACTAATAGGAATTTCTCTAAATAAATTGTTTCCCGTTTTAAGCTTGATTCTCATTATCCATCTAGATGGCGGCAGGCAACCGTTCATCAGATGTCCGTCAATTTTATGTCGTATTCGCACTATACAGCAGCTAACCATCAGTGTTTCGACAACTTTTACAGTGTTTAGACGAGTAGTACGCTTTGCCGTGATGTTTAAAAATTATTCAATTACCGATTTAGCAGTTATTGCTGTTTTGCTGGAAGAAGAGGATGAAGCAAAGAAGAAATCTAAAACAAAAGCTAGGAAGACTGGAAAAAGAAAAATATGGTTACATAAAAGTTTGAAGGAGAGGAAAACTGAAGGGGAATTTTTCACATTATACAAAGAATTGTTAGATGATGAAGTAAAATTCCATCAATACTTTAGGATGTCCAAATATCAGTTCAATGGTTTGTTGTCAAAAGTCCAACATTTATTAAGAAAAAGAAATACTACATTTAGACAAGCAATAACTCCAGTAGAAAAATTGGCACTTTGTTTGAGGTAAGTTTATTAATAAAAAATAAGTTTAAGTACAAAACTATCAATATATTCTGTATATTCTAAATCAATAAATCATACAAAAATTAAACAGTAAAATAAAAAGTATCATAACATATTCTGTATATATAGTAAAAGTATCATAATATATTCTAATAATCTAAATGAAGTTTAATAATAGAAATGTATAAGTATATAATTACTCGACAATATCAGGGTATACACTTGCACATGAAGACTGACTCGAATCTGTAGTTGGTGATGAAATTGAGTGTGAAATAATGCCTGGAAACTGTTGCTGAAGCAAAGGAGCACTTGGAACAGCCAGGTTGACATAATTATGATTCTGGATAGTTGGTTGACGATACGGATCGTATCCACTTGGCTGTTGGTGAGGACTTACTGGAGCTAAAAGTTGTAATTCTATCTCCGATACAATATTAAAAATTTTGGTTTTTGCCATGTGTTGGTACACTGGAGGAAACGTTTTTATGGTTTCGCTAATACCACTCAAAAAAGCGTCTATTGGATTAGTGTTGGTAGGTTGCTCATTTTTGCTTATAATATACTTCATTAAAGTGGTAGATGGTGATTCAGCGGTTTCAGAATCACATACTTTTGCTCTTTTTGGTTTATTTACAGATAGATTTTTAAATTTATGAGAACGGTTTTCAGATTGTGAACTGGTCTGGAAACTCTCGCCAGTCTCTAATTGACTACATCTCTCCTGTTCCCTGCTCGATTCGCCTTCATTTTCTACTCTACAACTGCTCTCTTCTACCACTGCTAATTCGTCAGATGAATTTTCTGAGACATTAGATACGGTGTCCCGTTCTTGAAAAAATGGTATCAAAAAATTTAGCTCAACTTCATATTTCCATTTTCTTTTCTTTGCTTCCGCTTGACCAGAGACAGTCTTCTTAGTTCTCAGAGCTCTACGAAACTGATCTCTCAGGCTAAACCATCTTTGTTTACAATCGTTCGCTAAAAAAAAAAAAAATATATTAATAACCTATAGTAACAATTACCTATTAATTATACTTAATAAGAATTCTACAAATTCAAAGGTCATTGTTTTTCAGGTTTTTAGCTACAGGGAATACAATGCGGTCATTAGCTTTTAGTTATAGATTGGGGCATTCAACAGTTTGGTCCATAATCAAAGAAGTTTGTAATGCTATAAATAGTAAAATGTTGAAGGAACAAATGCCACTACCTAATGAAAATGATTGGAAAAAAATTGGTGACGACTTTTGGAGAATCTGGAACTTTCCCAATTGCCTTGGTGCCCTGGATGGTAAACACGTCCAAATAGAAGCTCCCGCTAACAGCGGATCTCAATATTTCAACTATAAAAAAAACATTTTCTGTAGTTCTAATGGCACTTGTGGATGCAGAATATAAATTTATTGCTGTTGATATAGGAGCTTATGGAAAGAATAGTGATGGAGGAATTTTTGCAAATTCAAGTTTAGGTCAGCGCTTCCATAATGATACAATGAATATTCCACCAAGAAGACCACTTCCAAACACCAATACTGAGATGCCATTTGTAATGGTCGGCGACGAGGCCTTCCCCTTGAAAACCTATTTATTACGACCTTATCCAGGATAGCAAATTAAAGAAGACGCAGCAAAAACAACGTTCAACTATCGTTTATCTCGAGCTCGGAGGGTAGTTGAGAATGCCTTCGGTATATTAGCTCAACGATTTCAGGTATATCGTAGAATACTAAAGTCAAAACCTGAATATGCTGATCAAATCATTTTAGCCACTTGTATTCTACATAATTACATAAGAGACGGTAATATATACACCTCTCGGGCTGATGTATTACATCAAACGCAATTGACAGATATTCCTCCGCAGGGAGGTAGTGCTCAAAGAACTGCATATGAAATAACAGAAACATTTAAAACTTTTTTCTCCTCCCCACAAGGTGCGTTGCCTTGGGAAGTATAATACATTACATTGTGATTAGTCACCGTATGTGAAAAAAATATTCTTAGCGATTAAATTAAAATTATGTAGTTGCAATTTAAAAGTGTTTAGTAAAATTTGTGTAGGTACTTAGTAATATATTTGTAGTATAGTTAAATTACTTTTAAAATTATAAGACTTACCTGCAACTCCCAATTCCTCACCGATTTTTTTCCATATTTTTCCCTTAATATTACTGTCACTGTAATCTTTATGACCTAAATTAAACAAGCATTCATAAGTTTGCACTAGAAGAATTAATTTTTCATCATCCATTTTTATACTGTTATATTATTTATATTATTATATTATTTTTATATTACGACATTTCCTACAATGTCGGCTGCCTGCAGGCGCCGGCTAGCCGCGACATAGACGAACAATGTGAATACGCAATGCTTTTGAAATCTAGTAATGTTTTGACGGATATCTGATGGACGGTTGCCTGTCGCCGTCTAGATGGATAATGAGAATCAGCCTTTAATGTACCATCATATTTTTGTATAACTGTTGTACTGCTTTTATATTTTTTTGTTTATTCCTTATTTTTCCATCGCTAACCAGATAACCTGCTTCAGAGACAATATGCTATTATACAGGATCTTCTTATTGTATCTATCTTTGACTTCCTGTACTCTTATTTCATCGCATTCCACTTCATATTGTTGTGATGGTGTTCGTGGATTGCGGTCTTGTTTCAGTCAGAAGTAGTAATGTTTAATCAAAGATTTTTCTTTTTTAAATCTATTCTACTCTTTCTTTTTCTGTCTGTTGTCAGATTTTTTTTTATCATTTTCATGCTTCTCGTGATCTTGTTGACGATATTTGTTGAGCTCTTCGCATTTACTTTCTCAGGAGGTATTTTTTGCTTTAGTTACTAGATTGTTTACTTCTCTATTTGATCTTACGTATATTCGTCTATAAGGGAAAGTAGCCTAATTTCGGATACCATTTACAATTAGTGTCATATTTTTCACCTAATAACACATTTTAAACTTTTATCTACTCAAGAGTACTTGCAGAGTAATATAGAAGCTAATTTTATTATCATAGACAATTTATTGAAAATCTTTTTTACAAAAAATATTATCCCAGATTTAGCCATACGGCTCACACTCCCTCTAAGGGGAAAATTCACTCATCCCAGATACCTACGGTATCAAAAGGATTGAGCTCTGGTGGGACTCTTTCCGTGTTATCGAGCCCTAGGTGACTTGGTATGTCGGAGTATCTCCCAGAAATTTTCGTACACATCTGGAGGTCGCGAGGAGTACAGCTTTCTGCATGGCCTTATAAAGATGTTCATTTAGACCCAGCTGTTTTATGTTTACTAGGAGGTTCTTGGGAATAACACCAGTAGTAGATAGAACAATAGGTACTGTCTGGGTACTTTCCATTCTCCATTGTCTCTTGATTTGTATTTCCAGATCCCTATACTTGGCGATCTTTTCGTTGTATTTAACAAGCAAATTGTTAGTGTTAGGTATCGCCACATCAATAAGTGTTGTTTGCCTGGTAATTTTATTCACTAGTATGAGATCCGGTCTATTATGGGCCACTGGTTGGTCTGTGAGCACAGTGCGGTCCCAGTATAGCTTGTAGTTGTCATTTTCAAGCATTCTGTCAGGGACATATTGATAATAAGGAAGATGGTCGGTTTGGAGAAGTCCCAGTTTGTCAGCTAGTTCTTGGTGGATAATCTTTCCTACTGAGTCATGGCGTTCTTTATAATCAGTACCGACAAATGCCTGGCAGCCACCGGTAAGATGTTGGATGGTTTCTTGGGCTTGGCATCCATATCGGCATTTGTCGTTTTGGACTTGAGGATCTTTAACAATATATTTCAGGTAATTTTTAGTTGGAATAACCTGATCCTGAATGGCAAGTAGGAAACCCTCAGTCTCGGGAAACATCTTTCCTGATGTCAACCAATAGTTCGACGCTGTATTGTCGACATATTCTTGGTTGATCTCATTGAGATGTCGCCCATGCAGAGGTTTACTCATCCAGGTGCGCATTTTTTCTTGCTTAGTCAGATGGTTTGTGCGCATTTCATGTTCCCTCAGTTTAAGCGGCGTTGTGTCATCTACTGCACAAATTGCTCGATGTAAAGTAGATGTCTCAGCCTGTACCTGAAAATAAGATCTTAAATTAGCAATTTGTTTATCTAATTGCTCACCTATATCCATAAGTCCTCTTCCTCCTTGATACCGCGGTAATGTTGT